CAACTCAGTTTTATAAATGAGGGGCCTTTCCTACATTTTTCAGGAGCTTTTAAGCCAATGCTGTGTGGGTGTAGGCACCATTAGCACTAATTGGCTCTTTGCAATGGATGCCTGATAGGGCTTACCGCTGCATATGGATGGTCCATTTTAGACACACACACACACACACACACACACACACACACACACTAACTACAGACTGACAATAACTCATACATACATGCAAAGTAATTATTCACTCTATTTTCCTCATAATTTGTCCAGCATTGGCTTGTTATGGCTTTGTTACTCAGAGGAAAACCTGCCTGCAGTTTAGATATTGTCAAATAATTCACCATGTAAATTGCAAATAGACATTTCAGGGATTCAGCAAAGTCATAAACTGCCATGTAAATGGTTGCATGCCAAGGCTGAATTGTCTTTGGTTACAAAATGTTAGCTGGCTGTAACAATATGTACTCATTTGTTATTTTAACATGAAATATATGTCCACAACTACATTATTTATAATGATTGATGATTTTATTGCAGGATGATGTCTTTCATGACAACAACTTGGTTAGGCAAGGGGAGAAAATACATTACAGTATTCCTGTAATTCTCCCATACTTAAATGTTTGCGCAATATGCCTTTTCCACAGAAGACATTTTGACTTCACAGTAGGAAAGGCACAGGTGTAAATAATAATATGAATAAATTATGGCTGGATTCCATTTAGTTGCATCAGTTTCAGGGTCCTAGTTTTGTGCATTCTGGCTTGCTGTCATGGCTTACTGGGACTCTGAATAGAACAAGCCATTTCTTACTAACTACTAAATTAAAATGTCTGCTGTAAGAAAGGCCATTCAAAATAGTATACTGTTTGGAAACAGCTCAAGATGTTGCTGACCTTTCAGGTTAGTAACCCCAACTAGTAGGAGTTACTATTAAGTGTCAGATCTGCGTTCCCCACAATGAATTGGGACTGTGGGATTATCTTGTTTCCAATGTTGACTGTGTTTTCGCCCAAATGTCGATCTGATTCTCGTTTGGCCTGACAGGCTTTAGCACATTAAAGTTTACATTGTTTTTTATCCTTACATGGAGTTTGTTTTGGAGTCTGTGTTGGTCTGGGAGCCGGTCATTTTTTAGCAGACTCCATTTCGTTAGCTGTGCTGTGTGTACAGTTCAGAGGCAGGCAAGAGGCTCGGGAGCACGAATGAACGTCACAGCCTACGTAAACCAATGGATTTCACAGAGAACCTGACCCGATTTCTTCACAGAGGAAGCAGCATAGTGGCTGTTCCAAACAACCCAGAAAGCAGGCGAATGGTTCATTTTTATATGAGTTTACAACCCATTCACATAGGCAATAAAAAAGTGATTAATTTCATTATTAAACTTTATATAGCCCCTTTAAATCTGTAGTAGCCTACAAGCCTGGTCGCAGTTTTAGCTGCTTTGACACTTTGCATCTAAGTTGGGGATCTTTATTAAAAAGAGGTTGCAAGGAGGGATTTCATTTAACCTCAATGCTTTTCTTTGACATGTTCATCAAACTGTCACGGCCAGTAAGGCAACAAATCTCATTTATTTCTTGGTGGGAGCATTGATGATGGCTCAAATCCTGCTGCCAGAGGTCACAAGCGAGCTGTCCCCTCCTCGCTGTATCCCTTTCTGTCCCTTCCTTTTTTTCTGCTCCTTTCTCTCTCTATCCATCTACCTCTCAGCCTCTCTTTGTTTGGCAGTGATTTGACCAAATAAAACTGGTATCTCTCTAGCACGGTGACTGCCAAAGGTGATTTTTCAAACTGACTGCCAGGACGCAATGAGTTTTAGATAGCCAGGCCAAATTTCCCTCCCTCTAACTAGCAGTTGTGGATGAAAATAGAACTGACCTCTGCATTCAGATCTGTCACCCATGTCATTGTCTGCTCTATTATCCCCATGCCCTTAAACATACTGCTCTGAAAATGAGGTTGTAATGAACTAACACTTGAGGTGTTTGTGTTGCCGGACCTCACTTTCTGGGGTTATTTTTCCCATTAAGGCAACGTTATGTAGTCATTTTATCTTAGAATAACAGCTTCAATATTATTTTGAATCATCACGTTACACTGACATGTAACAGGGAGATTGTGGTACCAATACGCTATGGATAAATCTTCACAGCATCACATCAACAATTGGGTAGCTGTAGCTGTAACTCAGGAGGTAGAGCAGGTTGCCCGTTAATTGGAAGATCTGGGGTTCAGCCGGCTCCTCCAGGCTGCATGTCGAACTGTACTTGGGCAAGCTACTGAACCCCGAATTGCCCCTGATGGCTGTTCCATTGGTGTGTGAATGTTCCGTTTCCGTATGAATGTGTGTGAATGGTTGAATGTGACGTAGTGTAAAAGCGGTCGGGAGACTCTTCAGCAAGCTAGCTATAAGAAGAAGCTAAGTTAGTAAAGTTTTTGACTTGCTAGTTATTGATCATAAGTAAAGTAATCATAACAAATGCACGCATACTACTGTCCTTATTTATGACAGCAGTGAATTACACTCTGAAGGGGTGCCAAATCACAAAAAACACCAATTGTTACATAATGTTGCTTTAAAGAGCTGTAATGGGAAAGTAAGCATATTTTTGGCTCCAAATAGCAGCCTGGAGTAACTCTTAATGAGTTATTTGGACAGAAATACCCTGAAAATATGTAACATAGCATCAGTAGACTAGAAACAGCCAGTTCATGTTTACTGAGCCAATTGGATTCCTCTGGTATAAACTCACAGACTGGCAGGGCTGCTATACGTGTGTTCACTCATATCACATTCACCAATAAATGGTTGCCTGCACTTTATAACAATTTGAGTTTTATGCAGAAATGTCATTGTTGCATGGATCGAGGAGTGTCCATGAGAGGTAGGGACAGAACACAACCTAAGGGGGAAAAAACTGTCCTGTAAAACCAGAACTGATTAAATGACATTATGGCAATGGGATTTAATCCGTTGTGGTTTTACAGGACAAAAGTGAAGCTTTTATTTCTTTACTTGGAAATGTCCCCTTTCACTCAGACATCAATATAAAATGAAACAATTCTCAGTAGAGACCTCATCTATTGATCAAGGTCAGGGGCAAGCTCCATTATGCCTGAACTTGGACAGATGTTAATTTATAAGTGAAAACTTTCAACTTAACAGCCTTGACGTCAGCCAGAGACAAAAAGAGAGCGAGATGAGGGAGGATAGAGATGGGAAATGAGGAATGCAAATTACTTGCCAGATAAGTAAATGTGCCACTGCCACGGCATGGGACTCTGATTGCGCGGGGAAGGTTAGGCTTGCCTGAGCCATCCGCAGATATCATTAATCCAAGGTTGACCTGGCCTGAATTACGCACGGCCCTGCCCACAGATGTTTATTATCCAAGAGGAGGCTGTCCAGGCTGTAAGCAGTCAGAGGAGTGGCAATGTGCTTTTCCTAAATGACGAGCCCCACTTCCTTTTGAGCCTTTCACGAAGACAAATTGGCTTGGATCAGCAGCCAGGCAGCTGGCTGATGGAGAGGTGAGATGTATTAGGCCCACATGGACATTTTCATCATGACGGCTTTTCTTTTTAGTTTTTTTTCTCCCTCCTGCAGCATGTCACCTGCTGCAGTGTGTCATTGTGTCCTAGTCGCTCTCATGCTCTATCACTCACCCACACACATACACAACACACTAACCATACAGTACAGCCGAATAGGCTCACACTAATCCTCACTTTAGACATGTACTGAACAGTTTTGTTTGTGGATTACTGTCCTCTGGTAAAAGTGAGAGATCAGCACACACAGGAGTCTTTAGAGTTTAAATAATGCAATGCTGTTGTACTTAAGTCATACAGAACAAAGGGAGCAAGCAGAAAATCTTTGGTCCACATTGCAGTGTATAGGCAAAAGTTTAGATAGTTCCTAATTTAAACAATAGTATTAATGTAATAGCTTTGCAATGTCTAGGCAGGTGAGCAAAACAAGGCTATAAACCAGATACCTGGATGATGTTACAAAAGTGTGTGGAATTATGATGACGATGATCGATTTCATTTCATCTGGTTTGACTTGATTATACTGCAGGATTATAAACGCACCAAGTTTATAATCCTTCTCGATTCAAAGCTTATGTGCAATTTTATATTTCAAGTGATTCATATAAAACAATTTAATTTACTTTCATTAGCTGTGCAATTACAATATACGCAAATATTTGATGCTATATTTTGATATTTAAATAAAGGTATGATAAACACTTAAATTTGCCTCTTTGAAGGATAGCATGAAAGCCTAATTTACTGCTTTATAAAACCAGCTTTAATGCTTTTGTTTGTGTGTATCCACATTCCTCTTCCCGGCATTAGCATGTCCCACTTTTCAAAGCATTCAGTCTTCCTATCAGATCACCTTTTGATCATATATTTTATTTGATGTACCATGTCAAGTAATTTGCTCTCACTTAGTGTTTAAATAAAAGCCTTAGGGCAAAACCAGAGATACATATATGGAGCTGCTGTTTGAGGAATCATTCGGTTCAAAACGTAAGACTGGGAAGCCAACCGGTAAGGTCTTAATTTAGGACATTATATACATATATGCACAATGCACTCAAACAACAACTAAACCTATCTGACTGCGGGTTTATTTTAATGATGTAAGAATAATAGGTTGTATTAGTTCTTAGAGAAAATGTGGACTTGGTTATCCATTACAGTTGGCTGTACTGTAATGGAATAATTCATATTACTCTTAAATTATGAATAACAGTGGATAACAGTGTCATCAATACTTACTGAAGAGCAAAATTGTTCCGGGTTGTCATTCTTTACTTTTTAAGTGAGCTGTCCATGATACTTTGCAGAGTGCAGTGGGTTTGTACATGATAGAAAACAAAAGAGAAACATAGGGCATAGCTCTCTGATGTAAACAACAGGAGGGAAACCATTTCCTCCGCAAATAATTGTAATCCTCTTCTCTTGTGTTTATTTCTTTCTTTTTGCAGGTTTGGCAGTTCACCAGATAATCACAATCACTGTGTCTCTCATTATGGTTATCGCAGCCTTGATCACAACACTCGTCCTTAAAAACTGGTAGGAAAGATTCCTTTACTTTTTACTCATAAAGACATTAACTGTAGAATGTCACGCTTTGTCAGAAATGCGTGTAGATGACCAAAGGTTCAAGGTATGATTTTATGTTTGTTTCTTGTCTTTGGTGCGTGTTTTTGTAGCTGTGCGCAGTCGGGGAATGGCCGCCACAATAGCCATCAGCGCAAGATCCACCAGCAGGAAGAAAGCTGCCAAAACCTGACAGACTTTACCCCAGCCCGGGTGCCCAGTAAGGTGGACATATTCACTGCCTACAATGACAGCCTGCAGTGCTCACATGAGTGCGTTCGGACTGCCGTGCCCATCTACACTGATGAGATGATCCAGCAGACGCCTGTCTACAAGACTGCTTACAACGGAAACAGGTATGCAGGGCCAGGACTGTTTGTAGCACAAAAGGTGGATGCACACTGGAACATTTCTTCAGTGAGTTAGCACTGTAAATCCACAGTCCCTTTATGCTTTTCCACAATGAAGTCTCTGTCCACTACAGTTATTATCAATTAAAGTCTAATGGCCTAAATATTATTAAACCCCATGCTGAAGTGCAGAGCTAGATCAATTTAAATTGAGTTAAGAAATCAATGTCGATTTCCTAAGAATAATGGTTTTATGAGAGGATAAATGTTCTAATTACTTTAAAAAATTACAATGCAAATGCAGATTAAAAAAAAGCAATATTTATCTTCATCAAATGCTTGAATTCCTCACACTCTTCTCCTTGTGCTGTCACTCTGAACCACAGTCAGCTGCAGTCAGAATCCACCTATAAATTGGTTGCCTCTAATGCCTCATTTCTTGTCCATCTGCCTGACACCTGGCTGTGTGGTGTGGCCCAGCATGCTCAAGCTGCACACAACAAACTAAATCTACCAGTGATTTTTGTTGTTGTTATTGAGTAAATTTAAAGATGTAAGGCAATGGGATGTGAAGTCTTTACAGTGTCATTTTATGCCATTTCAATTGGTAGACGGATGTTTGTATGTATATATAGGATATACGATTATTATTATTATTATTATTTTTATTTTCTTATATAAGTGATTCATATAGAAATATTTAATTTAAAAGTTGTAGCGCTTTCATTAGCTGTGTCACAATAAAGCGCTTTTGGCAAATATTTGATTCTTTATTTTGGTATTCGAACAGTTTTACTGTTTATTCAAGGTATGCTAAACACTTACAGTGTCTTAAATTGTCTCTTCGAAGAATAGCATGAACACCTGATTTATTGCTTTATCAAAAAAGCTTTAATGCTTGTGTCTGTGTGTCCACATTCCTCTACCCTGCATTAGCATGTCCCACTTTTCAGATTTCCTATCAGATTACCTTTTGATGACATATTTTATTTGATGTACCATATCAAATAATTTGCTCTCACATTCGTTCGGGTGAGAAAATGTTATAAAAAGCATACATGTTTTTAGTGTGTGGAGCTGTTAAAGGGTTCATTAAAAGGGGCAATATGTAGTTTTCAGCATTTCGTTAGCTGCAGTGTTGTTAATAAGTAATTTCATTGAAAAACTACATATAGCCCCTTTTACTCACATTGGTGAGTCATGGGTGTATTTGATTTACTAAGCTTGAAATAGGGCTGTGCAAGTAATCCAATTTTGATTTTGGCCTCCCACCATTATGAAAACAAGATAATTGAGATAAAATGATAATGTTGCCGCATTTCGTTTCTTTTCTTTTGTTATAAATCCAGCGCACCCCTTTTCTTTACAGCCATGGCTTCTGCCCCTCCCTAAAAGCCCAAATTCTCTCTCAGCCAGGCTGTGATGTTTAGCTCAGCTCAACCCAAGATGCCCGGGGGTTGTAAGGGCTATAACGTCCAAGACTGATGTCACGATTATTAGCTTAAACCTAGGTATTTCACACTGCATAAATTAGCCTAGCGGCCAGTGGACATTTGCTCTGTGTATAGCTTAACAAATGACATATTATATGGTCTACTCATTGATACTTTTCTTACTCACCGTTGTTTTAAGTACCAGCATCTCTCTAGTTCACCTGTCTCTGCTCTGCTCCTCTCCGTGTACATGCGCACACACGAGCCCCTCGGCGGCCCATCCGTCCCCCAAAGCAGTCAACCTGAGGAAACACTGTGTAGCTGTCATCCTTTTTCCTCTAAGATGCTGTTTCAAGTTAATGTTTGGTTACTATTTCTTATTTCATGGACTATTTAGGTTTTTTTGGGGGGGGTAATCATTTTGGAATGTTTCCAAAGTCAGTGAATAATGAAGTTACATAATCATGATCTCACTATTGACCAAAATAATTGTAATTGTGATTTTTACCATAATCAAACAGCCCTAGTTTAAATCGTTTCTCTTTGTGGGTAAAGATGTGTCTCTCTTTGTGATATAAACTGACAAGGCAGGTGTGTTACATTGAAATCTGGAATACTGTGGTATTATACCTTAAATTATCATTTATGTTCTGTGACAATAAGCTCGGTAGAGTTTTGATTGTGTTAACGTGAGTGGATAACAGTAACAGTCATCTAAGCTGCAGGGCCAGCAAAGATGGTCACACTTACTCAAAGCCTGTAACAGAGTGATTATGCTGGCAGTGAGGGTAGGGTAATTCAAATGCGTCTGTATTCATTTATTTTAAGTCATGGAAAGATGGCTACATCTTGACTCATGTTTAACAACAACATTGCTGATAAATCCAGGATTTTTATCTCCGCCAAGAAATGGAGGTCTCAGTAAGTGATTGTCTGTGGTTGTGTTTGTCTGTGATGGTACAGTGTTGACAGTGGCACTAAAGGCTAGCTAGGGAGATTACATTAGGCCTCAGAGGATGTATTGAAAAAAATGTTTTTGTTCAGAGGAAACCTATCAACGTCCCTGCTCAGTAATGATGTCACTTAAGAATCTGTCAATTCAGGTTAAAAGCTTACTACTGAAAACCAATATGGTACTTATTGGATGTAATATAAATATGTAACCAATCAAACTGCATCATATCCATCAATAGAAGTTTACTTAATGTTCTTACCTTTTGCACTTTATCTTGTAGGCCCTCCCCCACTGAAAGACAACTGATTCCTGTGGCCTTTGTGTCAGAGAAATGGTTTGAGATCTCTTGTTGACAAGCTGAAGGCCTTGCTCACTTCCTGTGGGTGGAAGAGACTTCCTGAATTCACTCTCTGGTAGGTACTGTGGTAATTTGTCCCCTTGCAAATCATCGCCTGAGCCTTAGCCACCATGATCCCCGTGGTGATGCTGCCCCACTTTGGGAATAGAAGGGAACTTGGCATATGTTTGTTATTTGTGACATGATTATGCTCCTTTCCGTCTTCTGCACAGTGATTAAAATGGCTGAGAATCCAGCTCTGTGCAGTATCAGAGGTTTTTAGTTGAGATAACAAATTATGTATATATCAGTAGTAATAAGCTATGTGGTTGAAATGACTGATTTCAGTCTTCATATTGTAAATATTTTCATTAATATTTATGCTGCCACTCTCATCCTTTCACCAATAGCATATTGTTTTGAAGATTTCTAGGAGTAAAGAGGCACTTTCACTTGACTTGTGACATATTTTTATGCATGGTTAATATATGCCAGAATGGCCTGCATTTGAAATTCAAAGCGTGAAAGTTAAACACATGCTCTGGACCCACAGTGTTGCTGGAAGCCCGGGGGGAGGTGTAACGTCTGCTATTGACCCAGATTTTAAAAGGAATAGATTGCCTGCAGGTAGCGTAGTGGGAGGACAGCGCCTCGCCGTTGTCTGGACACAGATTAGTCTCATTCAGCCTAGCTCTACACAGCATGCTCCCAGCGCTGTAGTCTTGAAAGACATAAGATCCTATATTATTATGCTGCAAACCAAATATATTTCCTAGGCGTTTGTGTATGTTATAGCAGTAACACAGCATTACCCTTTCATCTGGTTTAAGAAAGGCACTGGTTTGCATGTTTTTCAGGTTAGTGCTGGATACCAGTTCCTCCTAACATAAGTGGAAAGTATGCTGGTTTTGAGTCATATATGTGTTACAGTTGTTCTTTTATTTTGCACAGGTGACCATTATGAGTGGTAATTGTAATTTTGTTCCCCGCATCTTCACAGGATCCAGTTGGAAACAAGAAACACACAAAACAGCTTCTTTTTGTAAAATAGCGTGATCACTCTTTGGACACTGGTGAAGATATTTATTTTTTTAGAGATGACAAGCAGAGCAGCCACAACGCTGCCACTCCATATCTCCAGGAACGTACAGTCATTTAGATATAGATTATATATAGGTATATTTACAGGAGGTGTGGGACAAGACTGTGGACGTCACGGATGTCTCAAGAGAAACACTTGACATTTGAAAAAGGAACCCACAGAGCTGCTGTGGGTGGAAGATGAACTGTATTTCTGAACAATGTGCCAATAATGCCACTATGTGCCACAACCTGGATAGAAGGAAGTTTCAACAACAACTGATGGACAACACAAAGAGCGCTATATTAACCCTGTATCGACTCAAACTACATTGTTTGTTTGTTTGTTTTTTAAGAAATGTGAAAGATAAAAAATGCTACCAATGTATTTGAATATGTTTTAAATAGTTTTAAGAAAAGTGTTGCAAAAGAGTCTAAAAGATATTTATATGAGACACTATTCTATTAGTTGGGGAAGAGAGAAGATGGAAAAAAGAACGGTATATGCTTTATTGAACAATTGATTTTAAAACATTGTTTCTATAGATCCCATTTTAAAAACAGAATAGTTATGTCTATTTTTTTACACAGAGTAGTCTGCCACAGTCCTAACAGTGTAAGTCCGAACCACTTGGAATTCAGCACTGTTAATCAAATACTCCCACCCGAGCTGAGATTATATCAAAGAAAACCATTTGAATACACCTGGTGCAAGCCAAGTAAATGCCAACTCCAATTGCTTATTATGTAAGATCTGTTTCTGATTTGGGTTCATGAAAAAACAAACAAAATATTTATGTGGTGCAGTATCACTGTTGCAAAAATCCCATTGCAGCAAAATTCAATTCACGTATAGATACAAGGACAGCCACAAGAGTAAGCATGAGGATGAGTTGGACAGGACATTCATACTGCCTCAGGTCTGTCTAACTCTCTTGCACACTTTGGTCTCGGGTTCAGCAGCTGTTTGGGATACATTCTAATGATTGGTTATAATTTAGACAGCTGAAAGAGTGGAATAGATTCAATTTGAGCTTCAAATTCAAATATATCACGTGATAATTTGCATTAATAGGGGAAAGACTGAAAAATTAATCCCTCCACAGATAGTAAAAGACCATCCTCACCAAACTCCCAGAGTGGTTCCCTTTTAATAAATTGTTTTTAAAACAAAAAAACAAAAAAGTATATTCGCTTCAGTCCATCAACCAAGAATGAAGAAAGAAGTGCTGCAAAGTGTTGGCACTCGTGTTTTAAATGCAAGATGTAAGCAGGGAGATTCCCTCTCCAAATGTGTGGAAATGACTAGTTTGCTCCCTACAGAGCCAGATCTACTCAATACTCGAGGACAATATTTCTAGCATATCAGAATTTCAGCTACAACACCCAGGAAGTTGGGTGTTGTGCACAAATAGATTGTTTGTTTGTGTGCCAAAGTAAGCAGAACAAAAATTCGATATAGACGTATGAGAAAGAGTTTTTTTTTTTCTTTCTAAAACCCCAAAACTCTCAGTGTATTGTTAAAGTCAGGGGATTATGACAAGCCAAGCAGTTGCTGCCAAATTGGTTTAAACTATATCTTAAGTCGAGGTGAGGGAACTCTATGGGCAGGAAGGACAGTAAAGCTCTCCCGGGAGCTTTCTGGAACCATGAATTTTATTATCAACCTCAAGCTCTGAAAGACAGATTACCTTTGTGATACAAAGCTTTTGAGGAAGCCTCCTATGAATCTACCTTTATTGTGCTGTGGGTTTGTACAAAGCACAAATACAATTCTGTAATTGTAAACATTTTTGGCTGCGGACAGCAATATGTACAGATTTTAAAGGTGGGTTTTATTGTGTGTCGGCGGTGGAGCTCCAGTAATTCGCTTAGGTGGTTTTTAGGCTTGTACTCACTTCCTTAAAGGATCCAAGAAAACAGGTTGTCCCAGTGAGATCGGTATCTGTAAATGTGAGCTATTCAGGAGGTGCCAAGATGGCCTGGGATAAACACTGTGGTGAAAAACTCCCGCTTTTGCCCATTCACAACATGAAAACCACTCTCATGAATGACCCATACCAATTCAGCCTCACTTGTGTGTCAGGCTGTGGAGTTGCTTCTTTGACATAACATATATTTTTTTGAATGAAGAGTGTTATCTTAATAGTCAGAGGGTTACAAAAACTTGCTGTATATTATACACGTGTAAATGTATTTTCTATATATTTGCTTCTATTTGTGTACAGGTGTGTTCTATTTTTCAAGACCTCTCCTGTTTTTGGGAAGGTTTCAGCTAGGTCGGGGATAGTGTCTTTGTTTACATGTGTAACTATGGTATTTCTTTTAAAACACAAAACTAACCTTGTGCCAAGCTTCCTACCTGCACTTTCAAGCAGTACTTGTATTATATCTTTAGCTAACCAGTATAATACTTCAGTAGACGCTGCAATAGTTCAGAGACTGGAGAAGGAGGTGGAATGTTTGAAAGTTACTGAGTGCTGAGTCGTTTGAAGAGGTGTTGGTATCACGTCTTGGGTTCTGCCGTTTTCATGGTTGGCTGGGAAACCAATGACTCTGTTCTACATCATTTCAACATGAATAATAAAAAACAGTGTAAATTTAACAGTAGCTGCTAAGAAACCAACTAAACCTGATCTAGACTGCGTTGCATTCATTTGTCATATTCATTTGTGTATACATATTGCTACAACTGCCCAAGAATATGTACGATTTGCAACACACTTTACTGTAATGAATACAAAAATTAATGTTGGCGTTTGTGACATATGAAATAATCAGGGAAAGGTGTCTAAAGAAAGACGCGTGAGAGCAGGATCAGAGTTACGCATACTGATATGGAAGTCATTCACTTTTTTTATTTATCAAAGCTTCTAATGGATAATTCTGGTTTATGTAAACTTAGGCTTTAGGGGTGGCAGTGTCCGTCTGTCCGTCTGTTGGTCAGTCAGTCCACTACTTTGCTGCAGACTGAAATATAACATTTGGTAGAGACATCCATAGTGCCCACAGGATAAATCCTAATGATTTTGGTGACACCTTGATAGCATGCTAACATGCTAAACTAAGATGGTGGACATGGATAACATTATACCTGCTTAATATCCGCATTTTTGCATTGTCCTTGCAAGCATTTTAGCATGCTGAAATGATGGTCAGTATATAGTGACAATAGTCTTGTTGTCGCTTTTGACAACATTCCTATGATGAGATTGTACTCACCAAGTTATTTGCAGGCTAAAATGAGACCAACAGTGTAAAACAAGTCTAAAACTACTACAGGAAGTGGAGAGTGCAAACTGTGGTGGATGTTTAATATGGACAGTTTGTGTGTTAATTTTACAGTTCGCCTTTATTTTATATTCCAAATAAGTTTAGCTAACCTGTCTGATTGTCACACTGTCTCTGCCCTGCTGAATTTTTTTTTAGCACTGTGGTCCAGGATCTCAGCAGTGAACTTGGTTGAGTACAATGTTATTTCTGACAGAGAGATCTGTGCAGTATCACGAAGTGGTTCCCTATGACATCCAACGTTTATGAATTTGGGCAGTTTTTTATGCTTGTTCTCTGAATTGCTGTGAACGGTTTCATCATTGCCACGTCTCTGTACTACTAACACTTTATCTGATAATTGTAAAATGTCAATGTGACCCTCCCGAAAATGTTGAAATTTTATACCAAGCTGATAATTATAGTGTGGGACTGATTTCTCATTCTTTCAAAATATACAAAATCAGATTATTGAACCAAGGGAAACTTTGACATTTGGAATTCATTTCTGTGTTTCATGCTGTAGGGCAAAGGTTTTGTAGGCTTGTTTGAATTGTTAGCATCACTCATTAAAATCACAAGGAGCAAAAACTTTACATTCCCGAAGGACATTTAGACAAGGAAAAATTTTATCTTGCAGCTGTGATATATTTTTGAAACAGACACGATTATCTGGAGACATCGGCATACATCACCCTTCCTCCTTTTACCTCTGTCTAAAATCAAACTGATATGTAAGGAAATGCCTTACTGCTTTCTTGCCTTTTCAGTTTATATGTCAGGATAGCTGATGAGTGTGGTGTATTATAGCTAAGAGGGAGGAAAATGATTCCACTCCGCTGGTCAGATTTGATTCAGGAAACATTATCTGAGAGCAGCACAGGCAATGGCAGGCGGGGGGGCTTGTAGAAAAGTCTTAAACAGACACCAAAGACTTGACATGCCTTTTTCACAAGGAATGAATATTTTGCGTTTCTGTCTCTTCAGTAACCCACAAAACCCATGCTCCCTTCAGCACAAACAAGCTATCAATCAGCAAGGGTTTCCTTGTCAAGATGAAAGATGTGCCGCACACTTTGCAGGGACTGTGATTCGTGTTTGACTGTCAGACATACAGAGTGGAACTTATTGACATATGTTGTTTGAATTAGATGCTGGCTGGACATCTCCAAGGCCAAGGTTTGTTTTTTTCCATATCATCAGAACCATTCACGAGCGACAAAGCATCAATATTTTGACTTTGTTTAATCATGGCCTTTGGGTGCCTGATTAGTCTAGAAACATGTTTCACAAATGGAATTGATGTGGCCGATAGCAGGTTGCTCAAACAGCAAGATGGACTCAGTAGGAAGAAGAAAATTTTTGATTTGACAATGAAATGTTTTACTCAGAAGAAAGGACAATGTTTATGTTTATAGACAGATATGTATCTTACTGAATTCATTTTTAGGCGTCAGGAAACTGTAGCTCTCCACTCCGCTTCTCCTCGTTTCACAAAATCACATACTGTGCGCTTACTGTATCTAAAGCGGAGGGCTCAGACTCTCCTCTCGGGTCACGTTTTTACTTTTCTATGTACAAGAGCTAAAGCACTGTCACTGTCAGTGCTTATTAATACAGTCAAAAGACTTGAAGAAAAACAACACTTTGTTTGCAACATCTAAGTTCTCCCATAATCCCTCTGCTAGATGGAGACTAGCTGTGTGACCCAAATCTGCTGTTGCGGCATTTGATTTGCATAGACGGCCTCCAACGCTGTACAATGCCTTCAGAAAAAAAAATAAGGCCTGGAATGACAAGGCAAGGAAATTTGGGATAACAGGAAAAAATAGATCCATGGTTGCTTATTCCCGGAGAGTTCAAAATGGACAGAGGGGTAAAAAAAAAACCATAAATATCATTCGTACAGTTTCAATTTGTAGAGGTGAGGAAGTTGTGTAGGATTTTATTTTCTTGTTTTGGGGAGGGAAGGGCTTTTCACATGTGGACACAGTGGTTTGTTCATCGAAGCTGACTTACAATACATACCTACCATGAAAGAACCTGACGCGAGTTGTATTGTCACCATCAAAATGAAGAGTTTGTACTTTGTGACTTAAACTTTTTATATTTGTGTTTAATATATCAATGAGTACCTCTGTTAACTTTTGTATAAGACCTATGACTATAGTATATACAAACACACATACACACACACCTCCACAAAAGGGACTCCAGTCTGTCTCTGTGACGGCTAAATGTTGTATAACTTTTATTTTGTGTCTTATGAACCACATCTCTTCCTTTTGTAGTTATTGGTAAATGTTTCGATTTCCAGGTGACTTTGATTTGGTTACTCTTGTACTACTAAGCTCTGTATTTGCAAGCACTGTAAATGCGATTCTCATTGGATTCGTCCTCTGTACATTTAGTACTCTGATGTTGCTATTAATAAAATGTAAAACATCATGGGCGTGTGCTGTGGGAAGTTTCTTGGATTGAGTCTGGAGGAGGGCAGTGATCAAACAGCACAAAATAAAAGATTTGAATATGAATTCAAGCTGGATTCTGTATGTTTGTCAAATCAACTTACGTGCTCATTTTAAAGTTGCTTTAATAAATAAATAATTATCTTGTTACATTTCATACATTAGTGTTATTACTGTCAACAAATAAGAACGACACTAAGGGGAGCATCATCATCCACTGGCATTTACACTGTGTGAGACTGGATGCAAGCGAGTGGAAAGTCAATGAAATGTTGGTTGGTCGGTTCAAAAAAAGTTAAGCTGTGTCCACCACAACATTTATATCTATAAGGCAGAAATTGGCAGTCAAGTGTTTTTGAAATTGCGTGTTTGTGAATGCATGGTTGCATGCATGTATGTGGTCACAGCTATTGTGAATCTGTGCTTGTTAATACAAACAAAACACCATAGTCAAAAAAATTAAACTTAAATACTCTTATTATTATTAACAATTTAACTACAATGTTATCTCAACACAGTAAACAACTTTACGTCTCCTGTGATGGGAGCTTTGACATTTATTAAAGAGTTATCAGATAATATGTAATAATATAATAATATAAGTTGGTATTGCAAGAAAATTAAACTTATATCTCAGTCTTAATATATATGGGCAATATTATAATTCTCTAAAAACTTGCTAATTACAGAAATGCTTTTATTATGTTATACATCTCAGTCATGTTGACCTTTTGCATGTGCTTGGATATTATCTCCAGTTTATTATAACTATAGCTATCACACCTGTCAGAAAAAGCATTATAATTACTGAATTAACTGCTGAGATCTCGGAACAAGGCAAAACCACTAAAAAGATGACCCGAAAGGTTGTAAACAAGCCCACCGTTAGCAAGATTAAGACCAAAAAATGAGAAAAATGCAATGAGGCACAGCTGCGGCAAGTACAACAGGTAAAAGTTAATGCTACTTACCTTCTTCCAAGAACTCAGAAATTAAACTTCTTTAATTTAATAATAATTTTTTTTTTTTTTTATCAATCATGAACAATACAGGCAATTGAAATAAACAAGAATAGGTTAGCAAAATAGCCTTGCTAGCCATTCATGTCACCACATGAATCATATCCATGCAACTATAGGTCCACTCAACACCCCTATAGGGCCATTGATACCGAAACGTGTTAAAAAGAAATTAGTGTAAAATATCTGATAATATAAAATCATACTATGTTACACTCTATATTCATATGGTCAATATGACCTTGTTAAATTCACTATTAACTGACAAAAATAACTCTGGCACCATGGTCTGTATAGCTGTATAAAAAGCTCCAAAATGAGCTTTGATACATTTGTAGGGAGAGCCATAATTGCTGCAATAGCTATTTTTCTACCTGATTAAGGTGTGAAATGTCTTCTCGGCTGGCTTTTCTTCCTATATAGAGCAGTCAACCATTACTAATAGCCTTGATTAAAGCTTTGTGAGCACAGCCCCTGTTTGTTTAGTATTCGCTTTACAATGGTTTTGCAGGCTGGGTGAAGAATCCTGTTAAACATTTGCCGAAAGACACAACCTGATTCCTGATTTTATTACATTTTTAGCCACTCTAGCTGGCTCTAGGGATGGCAATGTTGATATCAGTTCACCATTGGACTGCCATTAACGTTTTTTACAGATATACATTGTCGCCAGAGGATAAATCCTACTGACTTTGGTGATTCTTTATCGGTGCTTCTGCAGCAGCTCCGGCTGCTCAGTCCCGTGTCAAATGTTGTTGGTGTGGTCTGCTGGATGGGCAGGCGTTCTTTTCCTTTGCTTGCCTCTTTAGTCTTTAGTGTAGTAGTTTAGTGACTTGTTTAAGCATCTTTTTGGAGGTTTGTGACTTACCACTAAAGGCAAAAGCACTCGCGGAGATCTTTCAATTTTTTTGATTTTTTTATCCAAAGTGAAGTCACCGTTGTTTACTTTCAACAAATGTATCAAAAACTTAACTTAAACTCCTTTTCCAAAACTCACAGTGGTCACTAAACTATTTACTCCTCCTCTCTTATTCAAATACAACACAAACAAATCTCACAAGCTCGTCCTTCCCCTGATTATAGGCGTGATGGTGACCTAATTAGGATGAGGTAGTGTTGTAGAGACCGATCTTAGGACCCCTTTTTAATGGTCCTGGTCTTGTCTCGGACTCGACTGAATTTGCACTCGGTCTTGTCTCGGTCTTGTCTCGGTCTCAGACACTGAGGACTCTGGATTTTATTTCAAGACCAGTCAAGACCATAACTTTGGGAATATCAATAATTTGCTTTTACATTGTCTGATTTATTTGTTAACATCCTAACTTTGATTGGATGTAAAACTTATTGCTTCAAATTCAACCAATAACCCTAATTAAAAATGTGTTGTTCCCGTTAGCAACTGTCCCCCCTCCCTGCGTGAAAAAGCATTAAAAAGGAGTGAATAAAGATTTTGAATAAAGATGCTTACGTTGATTTCAGCTCTTAGTGTTTGTATGTGGGTGTTTTAATGGGAATCTGGATCTTTCAGATCAATTTGAGAAGTACCTGTGATCTCGTTCCACATTTTGTTGTGTGTCATGTAATGTGGGGAAGTGGTCTTGGTCTTGACTCGGTCTCGCCCTCCTTCGTTCTTGGTCTCGACTTGGTCTCAGCCCCTGAATGTCTTGGTCTTGTCTTGGTCTCGATAAACTCTGATCTTGACCTTGACTTGGTCTCTGTTTGGGCGGTTAGCTAAATTATTTCAAGCCACTGCTCAATCAGCACTGTTTAGCCTAAATACAATATGTCTGTATTTGTCAATGTTACAATGTATTTATATTGTCCTTAAGTGTGTTATACCTCTTCTGTCTTCTGTTTTATATTATGTCCTATTACAGCTTTCCTTTGCTGAAGAGCCGTGTTAGCTAGTAGGTGTTTGGATAAAATGTGGATAAAATGTATGCTATAACAAATATCAAATTTAGATTTGATTGATAAGTGTAGTAATTTCAGAATGCATAATTGCAATTTTTTACAACTTCAATCTTATTTTCGTAGTTTTGGGAACATTCATTTCAGTAATTGTCATCATTGTGACCACCAAAGGAATTGTTTAGATCTGGGAACACGGCAACATGCAAAGAATATTACAGGCTGTCACCAAGCCAAACATTAGAAATTAAGATCAAGTAAGTTATTTAATATAGTGTTGTATAACCCACCTTAATATGACATACTATATGCTATAAGCTTTGCTAGGGAATCAGTAACAGAGCAAATTGATGTTCCATCAAATAGAGTATTTACACTCATGCTGGTGAGGTAACCAAACTAACTAAAATCTAGAGTTTCATGTCAGTGTATCATGTAAAAGAGACTTACGTGGTTTTAAAATAGTCTGCTATAGTATTTTGAAGGATTAATATTTCATTTCAAGTCAACAATAGTTCTTGTTCTGTATGAATGATGACTTAGTTTTACTTGTTTTAACCTGAAATTATAACATCGCGCTTTTGCAGTTTAATTTTACCATATTATTGATTCCTGTCATTTTGAAATTGAATTAGAAACACAGGGGTGGTTTGCAATCAGTGGTGTCTGACACAGGGATAAACAAACAAATGCACAGAGGCAGTTCCTAGCTCCTTATACACACACACACACACACACACACTCAGCTGATTCCATCGATGAGACAATAAATGTTAATTTCCCCAAGCAGCCAGTTAGTGTTTTTCCATTTAACAACCATCTTCTGATCCGAGGCATCTCTCTCATTCTCTTGTGTCTTCTCTCTGTCTCTGTGTTGTCTTATTCTTTCTGTCTCATCCTCGCTTTCTCTCTCATGCTGTCTGGCTGTTTTTGGGATCACCTGGAGATACAGTTCTCTTCTCCAGTTTGACGAATCGGCATGGGCAGAATGAGTGCTCCCTAAAGCCAGGCTGTGTCCTGGAGGAGGCCTGGCAGGCCGCATTAGCATGAGGCCAGTTGGGTCGGTCCACACTCACTGTGACAGGCCTGAACCTCCCTCGCTCCTCATACATTAAATGGAATTATGCAGCCCTGCCTGCACAGACGGGCCCGATCAATGGGGTGGACGGCACATGCCAACAGATGCCAGGGAGATACTTTAGTGCGGTGAGATTAATCCCTGCTGCAAACCTGCACCCGTCAAAGACTCTGCCACCACCAAGCCCAGACAGCGCAGTCAAAGTTGATTAGCTCCTTGGTTGTCTGGTGTGGAGTAGCAGGACCAGGCAACTTCTGACTGGCAGCTGAGACAGGTGAGTGCAGGGCCAAGAAGACTACTAAACTATCCTCCTTCAAAGTTCTGCTTCTTTCATGAAATTGTACAGCCATGATGGAGGTTATAGGTCTAGGAATTGTTAGTGTTAGTGCTTCTCCAAATTAGGATCACATTTTCCAAAACGTCTGCAGTTTCCTGAATAAGAGAAGATGCTCCTCCTTGTTCCATTTGTGCTGGGAAAACCGCAGTGCTTTTCCTGTTTTGTGCCATAAAGCAGTCTTCTTTGTAAGGGAACCACTGGTTTCCAGTTTGGACTTTACAAGAAACACATTGCCTCCAAACACTTACCCTTGATCGCAGCTGATCAGAATTCCCTCCCTACATGCTTGATCAATCCTGGGAATTCAACAACTTCATAAAGAAATTCAGAATCTTCTAGCAGATCATCATGCATCTTTATACGCTTGACTGCATCCCAGCACAGAGCAAATAAGGGGCGAGGTGCTGCCTATCTGCCTCAGTTGGCAAATCCACAGGACCGAGATCCTTTGGACAGCTCCATGTCCTTTTAGCAACATTTTCTTCAGAGAAGAAGAGTTGGCAGTTTGTTCCCCTACCTCCACCTGTGCGCTTGGGCAAGACATTGAACCCCAAATTGCTCCCAATGGTTGGCCAGTACCCTGCCTGGTAGCTTGCTGCCAATGGTATGTGTGTGAATGTGCGGCAAAAACTTTG